TACTAGATAGTTTTCTATCATTTGAAACACAAAAAAATAAAAATACTCTAAAAAACGAAAGAAATATACCCTATCTTCTTAGTATGGAATATATGCACTGAATTTATTTGTGGAATAATTTTAATATTTCGGAAAAGTCTAACTTTATGTGTTGACCTTTGTTGACGTCGGTTCTAGTGAGTGAATGTCATGCTAAATAAGAAATTTTGACTTTATCTTCAAAACTGTATTTACACAAATAACATGTTGCTTGTATGTGACTGACGAGAAAGCACGAAATGGTACTATCTCACAAAATATGTCTTCTTATTTCTCTATTCAAATTTATCAAAGGGAACCACTGTTTTGAATTTCCTTTTTAGTTAACTCTTTAAAAGGTATTTATCTTGTTTTGTGTAGCACACTTCCTGTATTTAGTGGAAATAGGTTTCCCTGTAAATATTTCATCTTGAATTTAACTTCTGATTACCATTAGGAATCAATCATTTCGCGATTATTATTATACTTTTATGTCAGTTGCCTATTAATAGTTAAAACGTGAAGAAAATGAAGCAAAGTTGCTTCTAAATTTGTGATACCGTCACTCAAACTAAAAGATTATGATGAATCGCCTTTCGCCAAGAAAATTCTTATTTAATACTAGAGAGGCAGTAGCTCGCTCAGCCTGATGATGTTAGAGGATTATTTTTGTTCATTCATCCTTGTCTGCAAAGTACTGCACCCGTTTAATGGTAAGTTATGAAAGTAGCAATCATATTCAGTGCATTAACGAAACAGCTGGTGAAGAGAACGAAAAACGTGTGATAGTAATGAACGATAATGCGGTTGAATGTGTTTGTTTATTATAGGTTTTCATCGAAAACAATAAAACATTAATATAACATGGAATTAATTGCTAGAATAAGTAAGAAACAAACAACTTACGTAGACCAGCTCTTGGTGGGTCAACTACAACTGAGAGATCACAGCATTTTGGTAAATTGTCTATTGTATTTCGTAACATACTCTCAGCTTTACCGGCAAGGAATTCAGCATTCTGAATATCTATCAGGAAAATAAATAAATGTGTAAATTTATTTCTGTTAGGGACTGGGGGTTATAACAAATGGAAAACAGTCAATGAGCTTCAACAAAGCAAATAGAATCAAATCTGAACTATATTCAAAATGGATATATTCTAGCAAATTAAAAATATCTGTACTTTGAAAAACAATAAAGAATTCAAAATACTCAACTCAAAACAAATGAACTAGTCAGTTTGATAAAAACAGATTAAAGATGTACTTAAAAAACAGCATATGTGCTCATCATAGTCATCATAGTCAACAAGTACAAAAATAGACAATATGTAACAAAGAGAATAGTAGACAGAATTTTACTTTAGTATTATTTAAGCGGATAGATTTCATCTTGATTATATGAATGTTAGAAAGTTTTAGAATTTCATTAAAATGGTTTCTTAAATATCTACTAATGATTATTTAAACGTAAACAAGAGATGATAAGAAGCCAAAAATGGTTACGGCTTCGTTTAGTTTGAAGGTCTATGAGTGAAAAGGTGATGATGAAATTAAGTGTAAGCTGTTCAACATTTAAATACTTTTTTATGTCCGACATTGATTACGGTTTGAATGAACCAGTGAATATATTATATAAAGTGATTGACGTCAAAAAAAAATTAAATCCAAGACCAACATGCTAGAGGTGAGCAGGTCACTTAGTTAATTGAATTTGACTAATAGAGAAATCTAGAATTAACTAGTGCTCATTGATTCACCAGTTATTATTTCGGACTTAGTATGTTGGTATAATCACTAAATACTATGACAGAGAGTGATATGATTTCAAAACCCACGGAATACGTCAATTTCCTTAAGCTTGTGCATTCAATGTAATATTTCTCCTTCTTCTTCTTCTAAAAATATACATTATGAGACTAAGTTGTTCGATAGTTTAGGTCACAGACTGAGCTTAGACTGATCAGAAATATGCATCCACGATCTCACTGGAAACAGAAACTAGGATCTTCAGGTCTCGTAATAAGCACTTTAACTGGTATATAATGATCTAAATATTCAGCTTCAATAAATTCATGCTATTGTACAACCCACTTCCATTGCCAGCACTGGTTAACTGTATCACATTCAATACGGCCATCACAAATGGAGTATAACTATGAGCAGATGAAACAGTTATTCAATGAATATATAAGTATATATATGCGAGTTTTTAAAAAAATTTAATTATAAATTTAATAAAAATTACCATTCAATTTTGCATTTGATTTAGCATCTTCAATTGCACTGTTACACATATCAACACCGATTACACGATCGAAATGCTGAAAATACAAATGATAAATTATTGAGTAAGGCAGTAATAAATGCATTGAAGAAAAAGGCATCATAGTAGTACAGTGCCAGAGAAATTCAATTTGGTAATTTTAGGAAACCGAAATGCAACCATCTTACACCTTACGTTAAGTATCATTCCAAATTATTGATTCTTCGATCATCATTGTTACTGTGGAATTATATTTCTAATTTTAGTTTTATAATGAACTAGGTTTCGCTATTTCCCTTCATGAACTTCTAGTTCTGTTGATCTCTTTGCAAGTCGTACTGATTTGAGATATGAAAACCTCAACTGATATCCAGTCAGTGAAGGTCCTATATTACTTATGAGTAACTAATTCAATAGATCATCTGATCATTCATTATATAGATTAGTTCTGAGAATAAAATCTCCAATAATTGATGTTCGTGAATTGAGTAAAAAATTCACGACTTCAACTTCAATACTGTGGATAGGACTACTTTTATCATTTTCGATTCACTGGCCCACTAACTATAATTTTTTAAAAAAAACACCAGTTTTACATATGAAATCGTTTTATGTTGACCCAGAGATTGTACAGCAATCAATCAATCAATCAATCAACAGCAACGTAGAACTTTGCACGTACGCACGTACATCAGTTCAAGTTGCTACACCACATTAACACAGAGATGTAATTGTCAATTCAAATCCCATAGTAGTAGAGTTAGTAAAAGTATTAGCAGTAGTCGGACAGATTAGGGCTCCAAGATATTATTCAAGAAGTAGAATCTAGTGAAATAAACTTAAAAAGAAAAAGATTAAGTGATGAGGAAATAAGAAGTTCAGGATTTGAGAGAACACAAAGAATGGATGCACCTGCGCCATTACAAACGGCTTTGAACCATGTCATTCAGGGTCTAGCGATTGTACATCCCCAATAAATATTCAAACTGCGATTATGGTTACAGTAACCATTCTATATTATAGTCACAGTCATATTCGTGTTTTATTACAGATTCTGCAAAAAAAGTTATTATACAACACTACTATTGTTAGTAGTGTATAGAAATTTCACGTAAACACATAAACAGTTCACCAGAAATAATAAACAATAAACAAGTTTAATCCACCATACCTTTGAAAGACACAAAGCTATTGTTCCAGTACCACAGCATACATCAAGTAGTATTCGTTTTTTTTCAACAAGATTTTCATTAGAATTTTGGATAGGATTTTTTAAAGGTAAACTACATAGACATGATATTCTATCAAATAATAATTCAGCAGCAAGTGTATTCACTAAAAATTATAAAAAATAAATACAGGAAGAACAATGGATAGTTATGGGCAAGTGAATAAAAGTGAAAGAAGAAAATATTAGAAAAGAAATTAGGTGAATTGATAGAAGACTTATTATTAAAAATGTAGAACCCCATCATATGTAAACAATTATAGATTTACTAAGATCGATTTATATCTGTTGATTTGTATTGCTGTGAAGCGGTTAGATTAAAAACTGCTCTCATATAATATCAGCAAGATTTATTTCTGAAAAAAAACACATCTAACAAGCGATGTACCGACATTGTTCAGCTTAAATTGTGGTGTGTCGGTTTACTGCGTGTTCTTAAGATCGGTTTATAAATCAGAACATGAACTCGTAGTGATGAATACGTTTAATCGGGACACACCACAAAGCGAAGCGGAGAAGCAGTGAATAAAACGAATGAAACGACGTGAACTGGAGAAGGCAGAGAGCCAACTCAAAGAGATAGAGCATGACTAAGAATATATAGTCAGACAAAAATAAGGCAGACATATGACAAGCAAATAGGAGTGCACACACATGAATAAAAGTGACGAATGATTGACAACGTCAAAAGAGAAGTGGGACATGTCATGTGAGCTCATACAAACCAGACAGTAATAAGAACGAATGGTACATATAAGTTGTTGCTATACAAATGGCTTGGTTAAATAAATTAATCGAAAGGGCTTAACCAAGTTAGATGTAAGCGAACTGGAATATATGTGAAGGCACTACAAAATAAACACATGCGATAAGAAGCAATGCGTCCATTAGTAAAAATGGTTAATCATATTTCATGGAATTAAAAATATCAACACGAAATACGTGCACAATTCGAATAAAAAGTTTCTGTATAATGAGATAATAATATTAAATAATCGAGGTGTTTAAGTCAGCCAATACTCTCAAGTTTTTAGGAGTAAATAAAAATAGAAACTAAGTGAAATGCTTATCACCTGTCAAATAAACATTTTTACAAACTTAAATTTGAATCAGATATTATGTGCGTGAGTTGTAGTGATACAACTTCACTAGTTAAAATTAAGTGGAGCGACATTAGAATCTATGACCTAATTATTGTTATGAGGTGAGTACTTACTTTAAAACCACTAAGCCAATGTAGGTTACTCAACGAGTCGATCGAAATTACGTACATAAAAACAATAGGTTAAACATTATTAGGTTTGTACAGTTACCAAGATTTTGCTTAGTCTGTGGATTGATATATCCGGAGGAAAATCCAAACAATGGTAACTCCTAGGATTAACTTATGGATTATTATATTTATTCCCACTGTTTGTATAACTATTAAATAACTAGACAATTACACATTCATATTCCCTTTGCCATAAAAAAGATCTTTACCAATTCATCAACTAATTTTGTGTAATTTACTATTCCTAATCTCTTACCTATTTATCATTCACAGCCACGTTCCGTTTGTTCATGTAAAAATGCAATTTCTTATTCTATGGTGTCAAGTGGTTTGGTATGTTTTGCATATAAATTAAGTCTGCTTGAAACATAACTGGATTTTGTGAGGACTGGGCTACAGACTTCTGGACTAAGAGGCAAGGTTGAAAGAAAGAAGTTCTTGAGTTGTGGACCAATAAGGATTTAGAAGTGACTTAAAGTTTCTGGTGCAGAACGTAGACTGGATTGGCGTTTTATCACGTGGTATTTATCACGTAACTCCGCCAGTAGAACCTTAGGGGCTACTGCCGGTCCCAAGCCCGGGTAAAGCAGGAGGGTTGGACATGGAGTTGGCGACCCCATTCCGTCAAAAACTAACTTGCCAAAAAAACGCTAACCAGAAAAAATAATTCAAAACATTTTAACTCTGCCCTGGGAGTTGAAGGAAGAATTATGACGTCGCGTGATGAAAGCCGAGTTCCCTCGGAAGTCACGGGGCCGATGCCTCTTCTGACAACCAGAGCAACCATTTTTTTAGGTACATGGAACGTTCGTACATTGTGGGAGACTGGAAGACTATTTCAAGTTGCGGCAGAAATAAAAAGATACAACCTGGAGGTGCTTGGAATCAGTGAAACACATTGGACACAAGTAGGACAACTGAGACTAGCTTCAGGGGAACTGCTGTTATACTCTGGTCATGAAGAGGAAAACGCTTCACATACACAAGGAATTGCACTGATGCTGTCCAAACATGCACAAAAGGCACTGATAGGATGGGAATCTCATGGGCCGAGGATCATTAAAGCATCCTTCAAAACAAAGAAACAGGACATTACAATGAACGTCATCCAATGTTATGCACCTACCAATGACTACAATGACGACGTTAAAGATCAATTCTACGAAAGGCTGCAGTCAATCGTCGAGAAATGTTCACCAAAGGATTTGACGATTCTTATGGGAGACCTGAATGCCAAGGTTGGCATGGACAACACTGGATATGAAGACATCATGGGACGATATGGACTGGGAGAAAGAAATGAAAACGGTGAGAGATTTGCAAACCTATGTGCCTTCAACAAACTGGTCATCGGTGGCACAATATTCCCGCACAAACGCATACACAAAGCTACATGGATTTCACCGGATCACACTACTCAAAACCAGATTGATCATATCTGTATCAACAAAACGTTCAGAAGGACTATGGAGGATGTGAGAACCAGGAGGGGAGCTGATATAGCCTCAGATCACCATTTGCTAATCGCCAAAATGAAACTGAAACTAAAGAAGCACTGGACAACGGGGCAGACAACATCACACAAGTTTAATACGGCATTTCTTCGGAATACTGTAAAGCTCAACGAATTCAGGATAGCCCTCACCAATAGGTTCTAGGCCTTTCAGGATCTACACAATGGAGATGACGCAACATTGGAGTACAGTTGGAAAGGGATTAAGGAGGTAATCACTTCAACATGTCACGAAGTTCTGGGTCACAAGAAGTACCATCACAAGGAATGGATCTCTGTTGATACTCTTGCAAAAATTGAGGAAAGGAGGAACAAGAAGGCAGCAGTGAATGTCAGCCGAACAAGAGCGGAGAAAGTTACCGCACAAGCTGCATACACAGAAGCAAACAGGGAAGTGAAGAAGAGCATCAGAGTTGACAAACGAAAATATGTGGAAGATCTAGCAATGACGGCGGAAAAGGCTGCAAGAGAAGGAAACTTGAGACAATTGTACGAAACAACAAAGAAGCTCGCCGGAAACTATCGTAAACCAGAACGACCAGTGAAAAGTAAGGAAGGCAAAGTAATCAGCAACACTGAACAACAGCGAAATAGGTGGGTAGAGCACTTTAAGGAACTCTTGAATCGACCAGCTCCACTGAACACACCCAACATCGAAGCAGCATCCACGGACCTCCCAATTAATATTGGCGCACCTACGATTGAGGAGATCAGTATGGCCATCAGACAAATCAAGAACGGCAAAGCAGCAGGACCAGACAACATTCCAGCAGAGGCAATGAAAGCAGATGTAGAAGCAACTGCGAAAATATTTCACATTCTCTTCAAGAAGATTTGGGATGAGGAACAAGTACCATCAGATTGGAAAGAAGGATACCTGATCAAAATACCAAAGAAAGGCGATCTCAGCAAGTGTGAGAACTACAGAGGCATCACTCTTCTCTCAATACCAGGCAAAGTCTTCAACAGGGTATTGTTAAACAGAATGAAGGACTTCGTAGACGCCCAACTTCGAGATCAACAGGCCGGATTTCGTAAGGATCGATCGTGTACTGACCAAATTGCTACATTACGGATCATTGTGGAACAATCAATTGAATGGAACTCACCACTCTACATCAACTTCATCGACTACGAGAAAGCATTCGATAGCGTGGATAGGAAAACACTGTGGAGGCTTCTTCGACACTACGGTGTGCCTGAGAAAATAGTTAATATCATACGGAATTCTTATGATGGATTCAACTACAAAATCGTACACGATGGACAGCTAACAGACTCTTTCGAGGTGAAGACCGGTGTCAGGCAAGGTTGCTTACTCTCACACTTTCTCTTTCTCCTGGTCATCGACTGGATTATGAAAACGTCAACATCTGGAGGGAAGCAAGGTATCAACTGGACAGTTAGGACACAGCTGGACGATTTGGACTTCGCAGATGACTTGGCTCTTCTATCGCACACTCAACAACAAATGCAAGAGAAGACGACCAGTGTAGCAGCAGCCTCTGCAGCAGTAGGTCTCAACATACATAAAGGGAAAAGCAAAATTCTCCGATGCAATACAACATGCACCAACCAAATCACTCTTGATGGAGATGCCTTGGAGGACGTTAACACCTTTACATATCTGGGCAGCATCATCGACGAGAAAGGTGGATCCGATGCAGATGTGAGGGCACGGATTGGCAAAGCAACGGCTGCATTTCTACAGTTGAAAAATATCTGGAACTCCAAACAACTTTCAACCAAAACCAAAATAAGGATTTTCAATACAAATGTCAAGAAAGTTCCACTGTATGGAGTGGAAATTCGGAGAACTACCAAAGCCATCATCCACAAGATACAAGTATTCATTGAGAGTAGTCTACGCAAAATACTTCGGATTCGTTGGCCAGACACGATCAGCAACAACGAACTGTGGGAGAGAACAAACCAGATTCCAATGGAGGAGGAAATCAGGAAGAATTGGTGGAAGTGGATAGGACACACACTACGAAAAGCACCTAACTGCGTCACGAGACAAGCCCTCACATGGAACCCTCAAGGCAAAAGGAAAAGAGGAAGGCCAAAGAATACATTACGCCGAGAAATAGAGAAAGATATGAGAGGAATGAACAAACATTGGACAGAGAAGCCCAGGACAGAGTTGGTTGGAGAAAACTGGTGGGCGGCCTATGCTCCATTGGGGGTAACAGGCGTAAGTAAGTAAGTAAGTATTTATCACGTGATATCGGTCAACGGTTAGAAATAGTTGTATTGCGATGATTGTTAAACGACTATACGTTTAGAGTGATGAATACATTTTTGTACCGTTGACTCAGTATGTTGTGGTATAACTATATGTAAAAATAACTTTTCATAGTATATGCAAATTATAACATACCTTGGAAGAATGCAGAAATGGATATATGAAAGTTCAATCCACAACACTGTTCAACAATATACTGAAAGATGAAAACACATAACATGCTTTTAACACAGAAAGTCACGTGTCCGATTGACCAACCGGTCTTTTATCTAGTGAACTAGTATTTAATACGATTTCAAGAGACTTTTGATCTGAATACAAGTAAACTGCGAGTATACTTTTGTATAAAAAGTAGAAATAATTTTCACATTTTGGAGAAGTATAGACGACTGCTTCTGTGTGTACATTTTCATAGAATTTATAAACTCTTAAAGTTTATCACATGATATTGATTTCAATTACTACTTACTGTATTATTCAAGTGGACAAAATTTTAGTGAATATTTATATAAACTTTAATGATGACAGATGACAGATGACAGATACTTTACTATCAAGTCGAATATTGTGGAGAAGTAATTAAGGTATCACTAAAAATCATGGCTTTCATTAAATTAACATTAAAATATTTGCTCTGCTTTCTCCATGAAATATCATATCGTGTTAAGAGAAAAAATTTAATCTGTTTTTCTCTTTCAAACAAGAAATAAACTCACTACAGATTGAATGATTGGGGATAGACAAGAGAAGAAACCTGAATCTAGGTATCGTACTGATTGATAGAATTTGATCAGAAGTTAAGACTAAACAAACATGAAATCGACCACTTCTTCTTTTTCTTCTTCATGAATATTTTATTGAAACCATGAATCGATCAATTTTAGACCACCATTAGAAACCTGGAAGCACTGGACGGCCGTTTCGTCCTGGCATGGGACTCCTCAGCAGTGCGCATCCACGACTCCTGCAGCCCGCAGGTTTCGAAACACGACCTTCGGTATTGTGCGCAAACGGCTAACCACTGAGCCAATATCTAACGGTGTTATTGTCTAACTTGATCAATTCACGGAGTTGCGCAACCTCATACACAGTCTTCGGTAGTTATTGTCTACACCGAACAGGTTGAACTTTACTGGTTACGTCTTCCCACTAGAACTCGGAGAAGATTCTTCACGAAGCTAGTCACTAGTGAGCACAGGTAATTTGTATTACAGGGTTGTGAAGATTGTTAAGTTTTATTGAAACCATGAATCGATCATTGTTAGATCACCATTAGAAACCTGGAAGCACTGGACAGCCGTTTCGTCCTGGTATGGGACTCCTCAGCAGTGCGCATCCACATGAGCATCTTCATGAATACATAATTTATTTACAGACTAACAACTAAAACCTGATTAATATATCGTGAATTACATAATAATAAGAATAATAACACGAAAGATGAATTCAACTTACAGGTTTGCCAAACACTTGACGAAGATCTTCATCAGAATGTTTTACACCTAACCTTAAAGAGAATAAGTTTATTCACTTGAAATGTACTACCTTCTAAATAACATTCAATGTTAATATGAAAATATTTAGCTACATGTATTGATAATTATCAAGTATGAAAGATTCGATAATCAATCAGTTTACAGTGGAAATTATTAAGTTTCATGATAACTAGTTCATAATATATAGTTCAACAGACAGTATGAATAAACAATTATTACTAATTCAAACTGATCAATATGTTTCCTAAGACGTTGTGTGATACTTTTTTTGATAAAGTAAACTACATGTGTATGTTTTTGAATATCTCATTAAAAACTATAGATGTATGTATCATCGGAATATCACAATCATATCTGATTGTGATATTCAAATACTTAAAAAGCTTACCTACCTTGAACAGGCAGATACATATAGACTAGTTAAACCGGACTCTGAGCCTGGACCAGTTTGGAACCATTTTCGTAATTCATTTAACAAATTATTGATATCTTCCTAGAGTAGAAAATAAAACAGTAATAACTTTTTTCTTTCAAAAATATATATGGAGATATATATATTGACAGAAAATTATGTTAACAATTAGACAGAAAGTGATTTATCTATACATAATCAATCAACAGCAACGTAGAACTTCGTAATGTACGTACATCAGTTCAAGTTGTCATACCACATTAGCACAGAGATGCAATTGTCAATTCAAATCTCATAATAGTAGAAGTAGTAAAAGTATTAGAAGTAATCGGAGAGATTAGGGTTCGAAGATGTTATTCAAGAAGTATAATTCAGTGAGGTAAATTTACAAAGAGAAAGATAGAGGTGATGAGGAATTCAGAAGGTTAGAATTTCATAGAACACAAAAAGTAAATGCACCTGCGCCATTGCAAACGGTTTTGAGCCATATCATTCAAGGTCTCTAACCATCGATTATTATCATAGTAAAATTGGAACAAATTAATGATTTACAAGCAAATAAGTAATATATATATGTCATGTTAGAGCTTTTAAAACCGATTTACATACATTTACTTATACACTGTCGGGTTACAAGAACTATTCAAGTATCCAGAAATCATTTAATCGTTTTTTACTTACACGTCGATGTTCAACTGGTATATTTCATGCGATCTAGAGATGCGTCAACAAGTCTTCTTAATAAAAAAAGAAACAACCTATACAAATAGTTAATTTGGACGATGAACATGACATCTAGGAGTCCAAAGTCCCCGCTGTTGACTAATTCCAACAACCTAACTTCAAAGCACAACAAATACAATGTCAAATCACCTGGAGTAATTGCAGCATAATCGATACAATTCCATGAATACGAACGAATCAGACAAATAAAACATGGGTAATTATACAATAGTGAGTAAACTGTGAATTATTATTCGTTAAATATAGCAAATATTAACAGTAGATGAGATTACATAATTCATCATAGCATAAACATTATGGTATAAACAGAAAGAAATTTAATATGCTGTATGTATTCAGTAAATAAATTATTTTCCTACAATAAAGGCAAAGAGCATCAAAAAATGGATGAATTTAAAATTTACAACATGAAAAAAGCATTCAATATGTGAGCTAGTATAGTTTGACATTTATTACCTCAGTAAAGCCATGTGCATTAATGTATAAAACAACTAATGTATCTCCAAATCTTGATTCACGAATGAGTACATGGCGCCAGTTTCCATTGTATGAAATCGGATCGAAAGCACTTAGTTTAGGTAATTTTTCTAATTCACCATTGGAACAAGCAGTTATAAATTGTTGAAGAGTATCTATGACTTTAGTAGAGGTTTTAGGCATGTAATTCCAACTTTTAAATGATCCAACTGCAACTGAACCACCTTTGTACTTGGAATAGCGAAAACCGATAATTGGACCTTAAGGAATAAAGTGATTGTGTATATGTAAATATTAATATTCATAGGTTTATAACCTTCAGTTTGTCTGCTTGCAAAGGTTTGCAACTGATCAGATTATTAGACATAAGTTAATACTGAAGAGGGTTGGCTTGGTTGAATATTTTTTTTACATGTATTAGTATGCTTCGATGTGGTCGTTAGAGTTGGAATCCCGAGTGCATATATCGTCCTCTGTACGACCCATTAAAATAGATGAATCTCGAATTTGATGTTCAAAGAAAGACTCGAATCCGATAGTTTTGGCTTCAAAAGCGAATATGCTATTCACAAAGTTAAAAACTGATCAACTGTTAGCCACAGAAAAAACAATGTAAAATATAAAACCATACAAATTGCTTGATATTACAATAATAAGTTTGCGTCCCTTTCAACTACGTAGCTTATTAAACACGCATTGAATTTGCAAGAACTGTTGCGAATAGAACACAATGTACAGATTGGCAGTTCTGACAAAACACGACATACACAAATTACCTTCCATACAGTAATTAATAAGATGAAGCATCGGAATATATAATGAAATAACAAAAGGCGGTTCTAAAATCCTCACTATCTAACAATTTAACCACTTTTTCTGGATGTAAAACATTAGCACAAAAACAAAGGCTTAGGGTGGTTGTTATGAATCTGTCTTCTTAAACCCAGCTAATCACAATGCTTAGTATCC